CACCCCAAACTTGACTGACTGACAGAATTTAGACTGCATTAAACAAAGGACTAGAAAAATTACAACACTAGTTAATGACTAGTGCCTAACTACATTAGGAATAACGAAATAGGCTTTAATTGGACACTATTAAACAGTGTTACATGTCTAGTCCTTTCTTTGATGCAGACTGAATTCTATCAGTCAGGTTTGCAATGTGGCCACCATTCTAGGCAGGTAGTTCACCATCACGATGCACATTGATTTGGTGATATTAGATGGTTGAAGGCAGTCGGCCACAGGATGTTTTGGACCTAGGTTTCGTGCTTGTAAGCACTCGCCAGCAAGGCGTATCTGCAACCACAATGAAGGAATTCATGTCCCTTGTGAGATTCAAACCCGCGTCACCCAGTGATGCAGGCAGAGACAATACCACTGAGCTATTCGAGCTCGCCGTTGACCTCCTCTAGTACTGTATTGGTTAGTTTGATTGGACACAAGTAACTAGTGTGAGGCGTCTAGTCCTTTCTTTGGTACCGACTGATAACGTCTCTCACTGCAGCAGTGGGTTACGCGGGTTTGGATCTCACAAGGGACATGAGTTTCTTCATTGTGGTTGCAGATACGTTTTGCTGACGAGTGCCAACTAGCACGAAACCTAGGTTCAAGTCTTCCTGCTGATCGGCACCAACTATCTAATGTCATGAAATAGTCTTTCTTTTTCTCACTGATCTTCACTTGCATTCAACCTGAGGAATTGATGATTATTTTGAACAAAGTCACTTCCCAGGAGGATATATGGTTTCAGATCTCGTCAGCTATGTTAGTCGGTTATTTAGTTAGTTCATTAGGGTATTGGTTATACTTACGTGCTAGTGTGTGCATGTGTGTGTGTGTATATGTGTGGCTGTGTGGGTAAATGTATATTTAGAAGCTGACGATATCATCTATTTCTCCACTTTGATATGAGTCTTCCGGAAGATTCATTCCTCGTAGATTACAGGTTTTTTTTTGTTGGTTTGTGAGAAGAGAGACAGTCATAATTATGCCTGTAGAATATCGCATGCTGCTTGTATGATGAATGTACATCGTAATTAAGGAGAGCGCGTGCGGGAGATGGAGGGAGTGGGTGAGACTGATCTGCATAAAAACAGGGATACAAATGGAATCAGGCGTGAGTGGGTGTGTGAGACGAGGTGGTGTAAGCTTAAGACTATCTGACTGGGTACAGTAAATGTCAGCTGATGAAATTTAGCTCTCAATGTTAACATTCATAGTTGTTGATTCATTAATGCAACACATTATATCTGGGAAAAGTATACAGGCGTATATATATATGTCTAGAGAGGGAGAGGGGCTGCTGACTCTCTATCCCAACTTCATTAACTTTCATTGATGGCCATGACTTAATCAGGAAACTGTCCAAACATTACGAAATGCCTCGAAACCTATTTCAACCTTAGTCAATAATTATTTGGTGATGCAACATGTCAAGTGATGCACAGAGGAAGAGTCAATTGATTCTCTAGAGCGGAGACAAATAGGAGACAAATCTGTTTTTACAGTCACCAATGATGATATCAGTGCTTCAATTTGAATTCAAAGAGATATCAAAAAAATTTGGTCTATTTTTTTAAGCAAATTATAATTATATTTCAATAGTTTACAGAGAATTATACTTTTTTGTATTTTGGTAATATTTAGAACAAAATTACCGCCTGTGTTCACGCCACTAATGGAATGGTTTTGCTCTGAATTCACACATTTATGATATGTACTGTAAATTTTTACTGTAATTTTGTTGAAAATATTACCAAAAAACAAAATATTAAAACGTATCGCAGTGCGTAAACTACTGGAATTTAATTATAACTTATTGTAACTGATTAAAAATGCCCATAAAAAATTTTCAAAAGAATTGATACTGAACAAAGAGTACTCTTTTCGATAACCCCTTCATCATCAGGCTCTACATTTATACATACATTATAGTGAATGAATGAATGAGTTAGTGTTATGAACGACATTAATGCTGTTTAAATAACATCAAATCAATAATATTGATAGATTATAGCTGAATCGCATCAACATAACAAAAAGCTGAATGTCAGAAGAATTAAGAAGGATAATATTACAAATTCATGAGTTTATAGTTTCTACTGAAGGCCAGCCAGGGCAATATTAGGGGCTGGACTTGCTTCTTTTGGATACACAGCACTGCTTGTTTGAGGTGAATCGCAATAGCCTCTGCTGTTTGGGGCCTGTGATGCTTCGATGTTTCTGGCAGTTTATTTGGCACCCGGTATAATATAGAGAAGGATTTATCTACTCTGGTTGGCTTTGTGGCCTGTTTGCAACAGATGTTCCAATATCGAGCTGTTAATAGTTTTCACTACACCTTTACTTAGCTATGCTGGGAGATGTTCTTGAGTACGCAAAATCAATCCCTTAGACCAATGGCAGTATTCTACAATGCTTAAACCTGTTACTGAGATTAAGTTCATTTTTAATTTCAATCAAAATAGTCGTTATTCATACTTTGATTGAAAACTATTCATAAACCGGTGTTGTATTATTGTGTCTAGTTCTACGTTAAATGTAGTTTGAATACCAGCAATCATCAATAGAACACAAAATAATCAAGCAAAGAATATCCCTTTTTTGATAAATTCCTCTTCTGGTTCATTAACTTTTATTTAATAAGGAACTATATAGACAAATCGACGGTGTGGCAATGGGGTTGCCACTACAACCCATTCTAGCCGACATTTCCCTTGCGAAACTAAAAAATGGGCCTTTCAGGGATGTTGTTGATGAATTTGAATTCTTTTGACGGTACATGGATGATACATTTTTGATTATGAAAAATGATGACGAGGAAGCAAAGAGCATCCTGGATAAATTTAATGAGGTTCATCCTGCAATAAATTTTATTATTGAGAAAGAAAGGACACCCGTATTTCATTTCTAGACGTGCTTATGACCAGAAATGAGGATTTTGCAATAACAAGAAGTGTACATAGAAAACCTAAATCAACAGTGACTATACTCATTTTTTCGGCTTCGTGCCGTTAAAATACAAACACAATCTGATGAATTGCTTGATCCACCGCAGAGCAAGAGCAATCTGCTCGGATGAATGTCTTGATGAGAAACTTAATAATATTAAACAGTTGTTAAGTGAAAATGGCTATCCTGAAAAGTTTATTGATAAGAATATGAATCTGAAACCAAAGCAGCTTAAGGTGCCAGCAGTTCTGCAAAAGGAAAGCCTTATTCTTACAAATGAAGTTCCTCGGGTAAAACATCAGGGAGAGACTTACACAGCGCTTTAGAAATGCAGCGGTAAAAACAACATTCCCTACTGCTGAATTACACTGTGTCTTCAAAACCAGTCCTCTTCTGCGTTCAGGAGTAAAAGACAAACTGCCTAATTTCGCCTCTTCCATGTGTATCTACCAATTTAACTGCTCCTATGGAGTGAGCCAGTTACTTGCATAGGCCGTAAAATTAGGCGTGTTTCTCGTCAAATTTCCGAACATTACCTTGTGTGGTCAAGCAAAGGATAAACAAAATCTATTCGCAGACCTATTCTTTCTGATCTTGTGGATAGAGGGAACAAGATTGACGTTAACCATGCTTTCAGGGTCATTAACCGCACACTTACAAATCTCAATTTCGACTTAAGAGTTTGACTACTAAATGTTGCTGAGGCTGTGGGGATCTAGATTAACAAGCCTTATTTGTGCATCCAAAAGAAGTTAGTTCACAAATTATCATTACCCGCTTGGCCATCTAGGTTTGAATGATCATAAATTTTTGTGGAATTTTCTTAATTTTAGTTGATATTCTATTAGCTACTACATTTTTATTATTATTATTTGAGCATCTTTAATGAAATGTAATTCCATTGATCTTGCTTAGCAAATCGATATTATTTAAAAAGCACACTAATATTGTTATTGACTAATAAACGAGAATATTCTATACAATTGGTGGATGGTGGCTAGCAGTGGAATCCAGGATGCGCATTTCGTCCTATTTTGGACTCGTCAGCTGGATGTACCTGCATTTCTCAGTGAGTGATGATGTTTCCACAGTGGCTAGCCACCATCCACCAATTGTATACTAATTAAATACCCAGACATCGTCGAAGCATCTGCACAAGAAGCCGACATGTCAACCTGAGACCAAACACTTCGGTCCAATCAATCGACGGGAAAATCAAAAATTCAATTCGAGAATATTCTATGTATATAAACATGTATATATATAATTGTAGAGACAGAAGAGGAATTTATCGAAAAGGATATTCCCTACTACTACTTAATTATTTTGCGTTTTATATATGTCTGAATGGATATTTTTGCTATACTATCAGTCAGTCAAGTTTGCAATGTGACCACCAATGGTCTAGGTAGCTCACTATCACATGGTGCATTGCGAATCTCTGATTGATATTGGATGAATGGAGGCAGTTAGCAATCGTGAGCCCCAACAGCTTCTTCTTTGACTGACTGCAGCATTGACTGGCACGGGTTCGGATCTTAGAAGGGACATCAGCTATTCCTTCAAGATTGCAGATATGCCATGATGACACTAGTTAGTGACTAGCGCCCAAACAAAAATATATGCAAATCCGATGAAAAGGTCGAAAACAATATCGATCAAAATGGAGTTTTCATAATATAAAGTTAAATTAGTAGTATTAAAAAAATAATAAATAAATATAATTTTTCCTTTGCGTTCCCAGTGGAACATAGGGCTCCAAGCAAGTGGCTTGAAGTTTCTGTAGCAGTATTTATTTTTACAGGATGGGGTTGCTAGCCTCATGCCCAACCTTTCCTCTTTACCAGGTTTATCTCTGGCTCAGTGAGGTAAAGGAGTGCGCCGGCCGGGGATCGAACCCCGGACCATATGCATGGTCGGCGAGCGTCCTAACCGCTATACCACCGACGCACTATTATTATAATTATTAGTGTAATAATTAGTGTATTCAAAACAAACAGAGGGAAGCATACCTGGGCAACACACAGTCGTGATTTCAATGTCCCAATGAAATTTTGTATAGCAGAATAGGAGATAACACCAGATTTTCCTTCTCTGAAAATTCAGAAGACGCAAAAGAACACAAAAAGTCAGATAAAACTACTTTTGTTAAAAAAAAAATGGAAAATCAATCAGAATTACACAAAAAAGCAAAACAAACAATCGAAGTTAACAGGCGATTATATTATATATTTTAAAGGAGATTGAATTAAGCAATGCCTTTCACACTTCTACGAATATACAAAGAGAATTGTATATATATATATAACTCGCTTACCTGAGAGTTGACGAAAAACCCCAATGTTTGCATCAGACATTTACCATACAATGTAAGACAGTGTTTAAACATCTGCTTATACAGACTAGAAGTGCATATTGTAAGCAAATAGGCGTACATCAAGTCTTTCGCAACCTCACACAAAAGCCGTTTGACAGTGACATGTGTCTGGTGATCCACAATGGAAAACTCACTGAGGCTTTCGAAATGAATACAGAAGTAAGACTAGGTGTTTTTTGCCTGTCTATTAAACCGTTTGATGATATTCTCAATTTTTGTGGACTGGATTATGCGTCAGACTGTGGTGCGTTGGCAGAGAGGAATCAGGAATACACTGGACCACCAACGAGAAGACTCTGGAAGATATGGACTTCTCAGGTGATGTTTGTCTAATGTCACACATATATTCGAAGACTTATAGGCGAAATCTGACAACAAAATGGCTGAAGCTGGCTGTAAAGACAGGACTGCAGGTGAATGTAGAGAAGGTGGAGACGGAGGTGATGAAGGTAATCAGCGAACCATCACCACCACCACCACCACAACAACAACAACAACCAGCACCAATCACCATCAACTGGGAAGATATTTAACAGAGGTTCCTTTTTTCATCTTTAGACGGAATGAATGAATATGTCAAAGCTCACCAGGCAGAATTAGAAAGGCTAAATAGGCCTTCATCAACCCGAAATCAAGTTTGAAAATCGTCTGCACTCCGATTAACAACAAGGGAAGGAGTGGGAGAGAAATACATATGTAAAGCAAATCATGAAGTCATGTGACTAATTGATATGGTTATAAACAATAGTATGTGCAAAATAATCCATGGAGCAATTAATTACTCAGCAACGAAGAACATCTCTAACAACACCCGAACATGGAAAACTAAAGTTGGATGGAGTGCAGAAAAACTATGTCTAACAATTCAATCACCAAATAAATATATGAACAAATTAAATGGACATCCTTGGGATAGCTTGGGATGTCAAGCTTGACTGCCGAAGCTGTGATGCAAAGACTTGAAAACATAATCCTACCAAAAATCAAATCCGAAAATTGGATACATTACGTATATGACACATTTGTGATGATTAAAGGAAACAACTTAGACAAAACACTTACAACTTAATAAACAACATCTTCAACAACATCAAATCCACAAGAGAAGAGAAATTTGAAGGTGAAATTCTAATTTTTGGACATCTTAGTCAAGCAAATAATCATAGGACAATTAGAAACTCGTCTACAGAAAATCAAATCACGTAGATCAAATACTACTAACTTAAAACAGCAGCAAACTGATAAGACTTAAAACGATTTGGCTACAAACATTATTCCAGGGTGCCAGGACACGTTGCAGCACTCCTGCCCTAAGGGGAAATTGAAGAAAAATGCCTCATGGATTTCTTCCAAAACATTGATATCCTCGAAACTTCATCAAAAGACCTATACCAAATCAAAGGCCCTAGTCAAAACACACAGAAAATCATCTTACCATTATATTTAAAGGACATCTCAGAAATCACTGCAAGACTCTTCAAGCCTTTAGGAGTGGACCTCACACATAAACCAATAAAATTTCCTATTTTGGCGCTATATCAGGCAAAAGTCTCTACCGCGAAAAAAAGATAAAACCAACATCATCTACAAAATAAGTTGCAACGACTGCGAAAAACACTACATTGGCCAGAGTGTCTTCGTAGCCATGATCATAAACTTGCTGTCAAAAGACAAGATATCAAATCCCTCGTAATACACTGTATGCAGACAAGCATGAACATCAATTCCACTACGACAACGTTCAAATACTGAGAAGAGGAAACACCAAAGGTGGCAGAGAATTTTTAAAAGCTTGGTATTAAAGTTAATCGGCAATTAATAGACACATTGACATGGAAAAGATTTATCTATCTATTAGAAGGAAATCGCATACACAAAGGGTCAAACTTCATGTCAAGGAAACAGTCAATACCAATAATACAAGTAGACTCGATGATTTGAAAATACACAAAAACAGCCAATCACGTTTAAGGTGACCAGGATGAGTGACCAATAAACTGGTGGAGAAATCTAAATGCTCATTTCAATTCAAATTGAAGCATGAGCTAAAAGATGTTGGCTAGTAGAGCAAATGAAAGCTTCACAAATAAACTATCCAGCCAGCTCAGAGAACGCAAGTAGATCGTAATCGTCCACCTGAGCTACAAATCCTCTGTATTATGCCTAAATTGTCTATCAAACATCATCCAATTAATTATTCGTGCTGTGATATTACAAATAAATGGATCTAACACTAAAAAGAAAAAGTATAGTTCGTGGTGAAGACGCAATTTTGTCATCATTACAAAATTCAAATTCACAAGCTAACAAACGAAATAAGTTACTTTTTTAGTTTCAAAAAAGTAATATACATCAACGTCAGCGTTTACGGGGGGGGGGGTGGCATGTTAAACGAAAAGGTCAGAACACTGTCTCTTCATAAAAATGTCGCTGGGAGGAGATGTATCACTTTTATAGCCAATAATATTTTCAATTTCTAAAAAATCAACTAATGCGTTACACAAATGTCACACATGCATGTTTCGACAAACAACAAAAAATTGACTTAGGAAATGAGATAGTAGTCAAAATTGATTTCAATAGTCAATAATATGTCTAGTGAAGCTGTTACCTTCTTAGAAAACTTCATACAATTCTTCTTCCCAGCATTAAACCTGAGTACGTTGGACACACATGAAGACATGAAGAAGAAGAATAGGATTTCGCGCTTAGATGTCACACAAACTCAAAGACTTACAGGCGGGAACTGGCAACAAGCTGGTTGGCTGGCTGGCTGGCAGCAAAGACAGGACAACATCCAGGTGAACATAGATTAGGTGAAGACGGAGGCGACGAAGATAACCAACTAACCAACAGCAACAACAAACAGCACATATCACCATCATATGGAAAAAGACGTTGAAAAAGTGTTACTACTAGCACTTCACTTATCTAGGCAGCCAGCATCGTTTCAGTCAAAAGCAGTCGGAGCGGATGAAGGTGTCAAGACCAGTCAGTCAGCCATCTAGAATCAGAAAGGTGAGATACACCTCCATTTAACTGAATTCAGTTTAGAAATCTGCTGCTTCACTCCACCTAAGCTAGCATAAACAGCAAGATTGAGATTTTGAAGACAATTGTCAGTGAAGTCAGTCAGTCAGTCAACCAGTCAGTTGGTGCTTTTGTATGGATCAGAAACTTACCCATTGCGCGGGCGTCATGAAAAGCATTTCCATTTGGCTACTTCAGACTTATATCATCAATTGTCCCCTTCGCTGGTTGTCTTCATAATGAAGACCAAATGGCCAGCTGGTTGACCGATCAACCAGATAGAATTAACGACAAGAAACTCTGTCGATAAACGAACCAACCGAAAGCTGATTGTTCAACAAATATGTAGAAGAAAGTGAAGATGGATTAATCGGTCTTAAGCTGAGGAAAGAGGCCATTGAATGACATCGCGTACAACAATACAAGCCATCCATCACTCGAGTGGAAAGTGAATGAGAAGCGATGAGTGGGTCGTCTGTGCGTGAGATTGACACGGAGGAGATGGTGTCAGTTGGAGGGGGGGAGGAGATGAGAAATCATGGGCGGTTGTGGCGATAGCCAGTTGAATAGGACAGGCGATGACAGAAGAAAGTTGGGATGTATTATTGAAGTTGGATATGTTCCACTCGGGACCCAAGGGAACAATAATAATATAATAATATGAAAGGTAGTGTACTCACATACATTTTTGATAATGATCTTCTACAGATACAGGGGAAAAGTCATAAAAATACATAACAACCAACAAACGAATAACAAAGTACTCCTATCTTTGTGACATTTTATGCTCATTCCTGATTGTTGTTCACTATTACATGAATGTAAAAATGTCAAGTGAATAAATATACTGATCTACAAATTATTTAGAACAACACATTTAAAGGAATAACATTGTGCTTTCATTTAGATAAATCTCATCATCAGGCTTAACTCTAATATGCCTACATAACTTTACAAATAAATATTCAAATATAAACCAGTCACGGTGCTCTGCCAATAGGATAACAAGATTGTGCATATTAATTGTGCAATTAGTCATAATAATAGTAATGATAACAATAATGATAATAATGGTACTATCAATAACTAGGATGAAAAAGTGAGGCAATCTGTGATCACACGAATACTGATGAAAAACAGCATGATTAAACAAACAAATGTTCAGGTAGAAGCAGGAGTCGATAAAGGTTAAAAAAGACAAACAAATGGACCGATTAAGTAATGGTAGATTGTAAGGGAAATCAATGAACGACATTTTTAGTGAAGATGTGATAAAAATATAAGTAATGTGTGGTGGTTGAGAAGTCATCAGGTGGTTAGATCTTAATAGGGCAACAAGGGAGGGATAATGGCTGTATTAACTTCTTTTGAATGAGCATAGTTTAGACTAAGTAGTTCGAATTCCTATCGCCTCATCTGTGAATACGAAGTCTATCAGAAAGATTCGGTGGGATGGGATAAATTTCCTTCAAAGCTTTCGTTTTTTCTACTATATGAACACCGTCAGCCACATATGACAAACTGGAGCTATGAATTGTTTTTTTTCTTTCCTTAACCAAACCATTTTGGGAGATGTTCAGTAGTGACACTTTGGCTAAGCTGTCTGGTAGTAGTGTGCCCAACATAACTGTGAGCACAGGTGCAGTTGAATTGATAAAAAAAATAGATGTGGTAAAACTATCTAGCT